TATTATTTATTAGATCCATTATTTTCTCGAATATTTCTTGTAATTTCAAAAAAAGTATTATCAATATTAATATTATTTTTAGCAGAAACTTCATAAAAAGGAATTTTATATTCATCAGCAAATTCTTTTCCTTTTTCTTTTGAAACTTGTCTTTTTTCTTCTAAATCACATTTATTTCCAATTAAAATTGTTTTAACATTTTCATTTGCATTTTCTTTAATACTTGTCATCCAATTTTCTTCAATATTTTCAAAAGATTCTTCATTAGTAATATCATAAACTAAAATAATTCCATGAGCTCCTCTATAATAGCCTTAAATATAAAATTAAATCAATAAATTTTATTTAAAATGAAACAAAAAGGAAGATTACTATTTGTTATTTTTTTAAAACGTTCTAAATAAAAATATAAATTAAAAATTAAAAATTAAAAATATATAATTTAAATTCAATTTAAAAACCTTGACCAGATGTATCCCAAATAACTAATTTGATTCCTCCTGAATCAATTGTAATTCTTTTTGTGTTAAAATCAACTCCAATAGTTGATAGATATTCATCTGAAAATTCGTTTTCACAAATTCTCCTTAAAATACTTGATTTACCAATTTCACAATCTCCAATTAATAAAACATTATAAAGATAATCATATTCTTCTTCCATTTTATTTATTTATGAAAAAAAATGAAAAAAATGAAAAAATGAAAAATGAAATTTCAAAAAATTAAACAATTATTCTTTTTTTGTTCTATTATTTCATTTTTAATTTTAATTTCAATTTTTGGAATAATTTGAATTAATCTTTCTGAATTTAATTGAAAATAATCAACACATTCTTTTAATTCTTCATAAATTTTTTCATTTTCAATTTTTGGAATATTATCAGTATAAAAAAAATGAATTAATGATTGAATAGTTTCTGTTTGTTTATTACTGTATTCATGAACTGAATTTGATTTATCTTCACTTATATTAAACATTCCTCTATATAATTCACTTCTGGTTATTAATATTATTTTATGAACTTTGATAATTTGATTATTTGAAATAATTTGGAAATCTTTAGTTTCTTCTGAATTCATTAATATTTCTAAATCTCTTTAAAAAAGTTCGAATTCCTCTTTTGAATTCAATTTTACAAATATTTGAAAGTTTATTTTTCCATTCTTTGAAAATTGATAAATCTTGATATAAAACTTTTCCAAAATAAATCCATTTTAATAAAATATCAACTTCTTTTTGAGAATTTTGAGATAAAATTGAATATAATTCATTTTTAATTTGATTTTCATTAATTTTTAATCTATTTTGAATAATTAATTTATGGATTGGAATTTTGATTTTATTAAGAGGATTTTGATCATCTTTACATTCAATTTCAAAATCATAAAATTCTTTTCTTTCAAATAATTTTTGGAAATCTTCTTGAATTGTATAATTAATTCTTGTTTTTATTTTTGCTATAATATTAGATCCATTATTTTCTCGAATATTTCTTGTAATTTCAAAAAAAATATTATCAATATTAATATTATTTTTAGCAGAAACTTCATAAAAAGGAATTTGATATTTATCAGCAAATTCTTTTCCTTCTTCTTTTGATATTTCTCTTTTTTCTTCCAAATCACATTTATTTCCAATTAAAATTGTTTTAACATTTTCATTTGCATTTTCTTTAATACTTGTCATCCAATTTTCTTCAATATTTTCAAAAGATTCTTCATTAGTAATATCATAAACTAAAACAAGGCCATGAGCTCCTCTATAATAGCCTTAAATATAAAATTAAATCAATAAATTTTATTTAAAATGAAATAAAAAGAAAGATTACTATTTGTTATTTTTTTAAAACGTTCTAAATAAAAATATAAATAAAAAATTAAAAATTAAAAATATATAATTTAAATTCAATTTAAAAACCTTGACCAGATAAATCCCAAATATGTAATTTGATTCTTTTGGAATCAATTGTAATTCTTTTTGTGTTAAAATCAACTCCAATAGTTGATAGATATTCATCTGAAAATTCGTTTTTACAAATTCTCCTTAAAATACTTGATTTACCAATTTCACAATCTCCAAGAATTAAAACATTATAAAGATAATCAATATATTCACCTGTTTCAAATGCCATTATTTATAAATGAAAAAAAATGAAAAAAATGAAAAATGAAAAATCGGATAAAAAAAAAACGTTTTTTTTTATTTTAATTTTAATTAATAAAAAAAGAAGAAAAAAATTTTGTTTTTCCCTTTTTTTTTTTGCTTTTTAATTTTTTTTAATTAAAAAATTTTTTTTTTTGTTATTTCTTTTTTCATTTTTCTATTCTCTCAATTTTTTTTTTTTAATACAAAAATAATTTAATTTAAGAAAAACTTAAAACTTAAAACATAAAACAATGAGAGAAATTATTCATGTACAAGTTGGACAATGTGGAAATCAAATTGGATGGAAATTTTGGGAAACAATTTGTCAAGAACATGGAATAAATCCAGATGGCCAATATGAAGGAGATAATGAATTACAACTTGAAAGAATTGGTGTTTATTTCACAGAAGCAACTGGCGGTAAATGTCAAATGTTTTTCTTTTTTTTTTTGTCAAAATTAAAAATAACAATTTTTAACAAATATTTTTAATAATTTAAAAATTCTTAATCAAATATAAATCAATCTTATAAAAAGAAATAGCAAATTTAAATACAAAAAAAATTTTCTCCTTTTTTTATTATTCTTAAAAAAAAAAAATTTTCTCCTTTTTTCTTTTTCTTTCATTTTCTCACAATAAATTTTAATTTCAAATTCATTTATAAAATTCATTTTGATATTAAAATTCATTTTGATATTAAAATTCAAATTCATTTTGATATTAAAATTCAAATTCATTTTGATATTAAAATTCAAATTCATTTATAAAATTCATTTATAAAATTCAAATTCATTTTGATATTAAATTTCATTTAGAATTAAAATTCATTTAGAATTAAAATTCATTTTGATATTAAATTTAAAATTAAAATTAAAATTCATTTATAAAATTAAAATTCATTTTGAAATTAAAATTCAAATTAAAATTTTTTTTGATATTAATAGCAAGATATGTTCCAAGAGCTGTTCTTGTTGATTTAGAACAAGGTGTAATGGATTCAATTAGAGGATCAAAAATGGGCAAATTATTCAAACCAGATACAATGGTTTATGGACAATCAGGAGCAGGAAACAACTGGGCAAAAGGACATTATACAGAAGGAGCAGAATTAATTGAAAATGTAATGGAAGTTATTCGAAAAGAATCAGAAAATTGTGATTGTCTTCAAGGATTTCAAATTTCTCATTCTCTTGGAGGTGGAACTGGTTCAGGTCTTGGAACTCTCTTACTTTCTCGCATTCGTGAAGAGCATCCTGACAGAATGATTGCAACTTTTTCTGTTGTTCCTTCACCAAAAGTCTCTGATACTGTTGTTGAACCCTATAATGCTACTCTTTCTGTTCATCAACTTGTTGAAAATGCTGATGAAGTTATGTGTATTGATAATGAAGCTCTTTATAGAATTTCAACTAATACTTTGAATATTCCTAATCCTTCTTATCCTGATTTGAATCATTTAGTTTCTTCTGTTATGAGTGGAATTACTTCTACTTTAAGATTTCCAGGTTTGTTTTCAAAAAAATATTTCAAAAAATTTCAAAAACATGAAATATAAAAAAATCAAAAACATGAAATATAAAATGAAATTAATTAAATTCAAAAAAATATTTCAAAAAATTTCAAAAACATGAAATATAAAAAAATCAAAAACATGAAATATAAAATGAAATTAATTAAATTCAAAAAAAATATTTCAAAAAATTTCAAAAACATGAAATATAAAATGAAATTAATTAAATTCAAAAAAATATTTCAAAAAATGTTAAAAAAATGAAATATAAAATGAAATTAATTAAATTTAAAAAAAATATTCAAAAAATATTAAAAACATGAAATATAAAATGAAATTAATTAAATTCAAAAATATTATTTAATAGGTCAACTTAATTCCGATCTTAGAAAATTAGCAGTCAATTTAATCCCATTCCCAAGATTACACTTTTTCTTAATTGGATTCGCACCCTTAACAAGAAGAGATGCAATTGGATACACAGCATTATCAGTTCCCGAATTAACACAACAAATGTTTTCACCCAAGAACATGATGGCAGCAGCAGATCCATCACTTGGAAAATACTTAACAGCATCAGCAATGTTCAGAGGAAGAATCCCAACAAAAGAAATTGACGACAACATGCTTTCCTTACAGAATAAATATCAAGGACAATTTATTGAATGGATCCCAAATAACATCAAAAGCACAATTTGTGATATTCCACCAAAAGGACATAAAATAAGTGTCACTTTTATTGGAAATTCAACTTCCATTCAAGAATTATTCAAAAGAATCGAAGGTCAATTCACTAAAATGTTCAGAAGAAGAGCTTTTGTTCATTGGTATCTTGGTGAAGGAATGGATGAGTCAGAATTTGCTGAATCTCAAAACAATATGAAGGATCTTGTTAAAGAATATCAACAATATCAAGATGCTACTCTTGATGATGTTTTTGGTGAAGAAGATGAACAAGATGAAGTCGACAGTCAAGAAGAAGTTCAAAGTGGTCAAGAACAAGTAAGTGGAGATGAAGATGATGCTCAAGTTGATGATGATGATGGTGAAGATGATGATTAAATAAATGATAATGATCTTCTTTTTTTTTTTCTCTTTTTTCTCTTTAATTCTTCTACTTCTACTTCTAATTCTAATTCTAATTCTTTTTCTTTTCAAATACACAATTTTTCTTTTCATTTTCTTCTTTAATTCCTTTCTTTCCATTTTTCTTTCTTTTTCTTTCTCTTTCTAATTTGTTTTTGTGCTTTTGATTTCCATTTTTAAAATAGCATTAAAAGATTAATCAAAAATAATAAAAATTAAAAAAAAAAATTAAAATAAAAAAAAAATAAAAAAAATATGAGCCTAGAAGGACTTGAACCCTCAACCTTTTGATCTGGAGTCAAACGCACTACCATTTGTGCTATAGGCTCTTTATTTAAATTAATTTAATTTAAATTTTCTTATTTTTATTTTTTAAAAATAATATTTATTTAAATTAAAAATAAAAATATTTTATAAATTTATTTTAATATTTTTAATAATAATATATTATAATTTATTTATATTTTAATTTAAAATATAATTTACATAAAATATAATTAAATTAATTAAATTAAATATATATTAAATATTAATATAAAATAATTAAAATATTTTATTCCACTTTTTTATTTAATAAATTTATATTAATATTTTTAATAATTTTATATTATTATTTATTTATAAATTTATACCATTTGTGCTATAGGCTCTTTATTTAATTATTTAAATTTAAATTTTCTTATTTTTATTTTTTAAAAATATTATTTATTTAAATTAAAAATAAAAATATTTAATAAATTTATTTTAATAATTTTAATAATAATATATTATAATTTATTTATATTTTAATTTAAAATATAATTTATATAAAATATAATTAAATTAATTAAATTAAATATATATTAAATATTTATATAAAATAATTAAAAATATTTTATTCCACTTTTTTATTTAATAAATTTATTTTTAATATTTTTAATAATTTTATATTATTATTTATTTATAAATTTATACCATTTGTGCTATAGGCTCTTTATTTAAAATTATTTAATTTAAATTTTCTTATTTTTATTTTTAAAAATAATATTTATTTAAATTAAAAATAAAAATATTTAATAAATTTATATTAATAATTTTAATAATTATATATTATAATTTATTTATATTTTTATTTAGAATATAATTTATATAAAATATAATTAAATCATTTAAATTAAATATATATTAAATATTTATATAAAAATAATTAAAATATTTTATTCCACTTTTTATTTAATAAATTTATTTTAATATTTTTAATAATTATATATTATTATTTATTTATAAATTTATACCATTTTGTGCTATAGGCTCTTTTATTTAATTATTTAATTTAAATTTTCTTTCTTATTTTTATTTTTAAAAATAATATTTATTTAAATTAAAAATAAAAATATTTTATAAATTTATTTTAATATTTTTAATAATAATATATTATAATTTATTTATATTTTAATTTAGAATATAATTTATATAAAATATAATTAAATTATTTAAATTAAATATATATTAAATATTTATATAAAATAATTAAAATATTTTATTCCACTTTTTATTTAATAAATTTATTTTAATATTTTTAATAATATTATATTATTATTTATTTATAAATTTATACCATTTGTGCTATAGGCTCTTTATTTAATTATTTAATTTAAATTTTTCTTATTTTTATTTTTAAAAATAATATTTATTTAAATTAAAAATAAAAATATTTAATAAATTTATTTTAATATTTTTAATAATAATATATTATAATTTATTTATATTTTTATTTAAAAATATATTTTATATAAAATATAATTAAATTATTTAAATTAAATATATATTAAATATTTATATAAAATAATTAAAATATTTTATTCCACTTTTTATTTAATAAATTTATATTAATATTTTTAATAATATTATATTATTATTTATTTATAAATTTATACCATTTGTGCTATAGGCTCTTTATTTAATTATTTAATTTAAATTTTTTCTTATTTTTTATTTTTTAAAAAATAATATTTATTTAAATTAAAAATAAAAATATTTAATAAATTTATTTTTAATATTTTTAATAATAATATATTATAATTTATTTATATTTTTATTTAAAATATATTTTATATAAAATATAATTAAATTAATTAAATTAAATATATATATTAAATATTAATATAAAATAATTAAAATATTTTATTCCACTTTTTATTTTAATAAATTTATTTTAATATTTTTAATAATATTATATTATTATTTATTTATAAATTTATACCATTTGTGCTATAGGCTCTTTTATTTAAATATTTAATTTAAATTTTCTTATTTTTTTATTTTTAAAAATATTATTTATTTAAATTAAAAATAAAAATATTTTATAAATTTATTTTTAATATTTTTAATAATAATATATTATAATTTATTTATATTTTAATTTAGAATATAATTTATATAAAATATAATTAAATTATTTAAATTAAATATATATTAAATATTTATATAAAATAATTAAAATATTTTATTCCACTTTTTATTTAATAAATTTATTTTAATATTTTTAATAATATTATATTATTATTTATTTATAAATTTATACCATTTGTGCTATAGGCTCTTTTATTTAATTATTTAATTTAAATTTTTCTTATTTTTATTTTTTAAAAATATTATTTATTTAAATTAAAAATAAAAATATTTAATAAATTTATTTTAATATTTTTAATAATAATATATAATAATTTATTTATATTTTTATTTAAAATATATTTTATATAAAATATAATTAAATTAATTAAATTAAATATATATTAAATATTTATATAAAATAATTAAAATATTTTATTCCACTTTTTATTTAATAAATTTATTTTAATATTTTTAATAATTATATATTATTATTTATTTATAAATTTATACCATTTGTGCTATAGGCTCTTTATTTTAAATTATTTAATTTAAATTTTCTTATTTTTATTTTTAAAAATATTATTTATTTAAATTAAAAATAAAAATATTTAATAAATTTATATTAATAATTTTTAATAATTATATATTATAATTTATTTATATTTTTATTTAAAATATAATTAAATTATTTAAATTAAATATATATTAAATATTAATATAAAATAATTAAAATATTTTATTCCACTTTTTATTTAATAAATTTATATTAATATTTTTAATAATTTTATATTATTATTTATTTATAAATTTATACCATTTGTGCTATAGGCTCTTTATTTAATTATTTAATTTAAATTTTTCTTATTTTTATTTTTTAAAAATATTATTTATTTAAATTAAAAATAAAAATATTTAATAAATTTATTTTAATATTTTTAATAATAATATATTATAATTTATTTATATTTTAATTTAAAATATATTTTATATAAAATATAATTAAATTAATTAAATTAAATATATATTAAATATTTATATAAAATAATTAAAAATATTTTATTCCACTTTTTATTTAATAAATTTATATAAATAATTTTAATAATTTTATATTATTATTTATTTATAAATTTATACCATTTGTGCTATAGGCTCTTTATTTAAATATTTAATTTAAATTTTCTTATTTTTATTTTTTTAAAAATATTATTTATTTAAATTAAAAATAAAAATATTTAATAAATTTATTTTAATATTTTTAATAATAATATATTATAATTTATTTATATTTTTATTTAAAATATATTTTATATAAAATATAATTAAATTATTTAAATTAAATATATATTAAATATTTATATAAAATAAATAAAATATTTTATTCCACTTTTTAATAAATTTATATTAATATTTTTAATAATTTTATATTATTATTTATTTATAAATTTATACCATTTGTGCTATAGGCTCTTTATTTAATTATTTAATTTAAATTTTCTTATTTTTATTTTTTAAAAATAATATTTATTTAAATTAAAAATAAAAATATTTAATAAATTTATTTTAATATTTTTAATAATAATATATAATAATTTATTTATATTTTTATTTGAAATATAATTTATATAAAATATAATTAAATTATTTAAATTAAATATATATTAAATATTTATATAAAATAAATGAAATATTTTATTCCACTTTTTTTTTTTAAATTAAATTAAAGAGTTTTTGTTCTTGAATTTATTTTTCCTTGGTTGAAATAAAAAAAAATAAATGAAAGAAAGAAAAAAATAAATGAAAGAAAATAAATGAAAAGAAAATAAAAGAGATCAAAACTGTTGATAAATTTTTTTGGATTTTGGAAAGTTTGATCAAAAAAATGAATAGAATTTTTTTGAGAATTAATTTTGAAAATTCATATTAGGATTTGGTTGAAAATTCATATTAGGATCTGGTTGAAAATTCATATTAGGATCTGGTTGAAAATTCATATTAGGATCTGGTTGAAAATTCATATTAGGATTTGGTTGAAAATTCATATTAGGATCTGGTTGAAAATTCATATTAGGATTTGGTTGAAAATTCATATTAGGATCTGGTTGAAAATTCATATTAGGATTTGGTTGAAAGTTCATATTAGGATCTGGTTGATAACTTAGATTAGGTTGTTCAATATTATAATTAGGTTGATAAAAAGGTTCTTGTGAATTTTCCAGTGTTTCTTCATGGATTTTTGGTGGTTTGATTGTTGTCTTAGTTGTAGTTGTTGTTGATGTTGATGTTGGTGGGTTTTCAGTCATTTGAATTTCTTTTTTATTAAATCTTCCATCGTGATAAACAATTTTTGTTTGACCATCTTTCTCTTTAATCCAAACTCTTGTTCTTCTCCATCCTTTTTTCTAAATAAAGATTCAAAAAGATTATTTTAATTGATATTTATATTGATATTTAGATTTATATTTTACACGTTTTCGAATCGCAATTATAATTGCAATAATTACGATTAATCCTACAATCGGAAAAGCAATAATAATAGAAATCTGGAAAAAAAAAAAGAAAGTGGAATGAGATGAAAGGAAATGAAATATATAATATATATTTTTATTAATTTACTGGAACTGATGTACTTGGTGAAGAATAACTAGGACAAGAATTTTCAATGGAAAAATAATTGGAACAAGAACCAGAATCACTTTTTTATCAAAAAGAAAAGAAAAGAAAATATTCGTTTTGTTTTTGTTTTTGAAAATTAATTTCAGAAATAAAAATGATCCAAATATGAAAAAAAAAGGAAAAATTATTTTATTTATTAAAAATTACAAAAAATCAATACAACCTCCTGATGTTTCACACCAAACACAACCAGAAGCTCGACAACAACTAGTACAAGTAGTAAAAGAACTAAAAAAGAAAAGGAAAGAAAAAAAGAAAGAAAAAAAAATTTTTGTTTTATTAT